TCTGGGTGCGCTTAACAAGCCCATCTCCCCACCTCCGACACGGGTTTATTTTGGTCATGTGCACCCCAATATCTGGGGTTTACTATCGCTAGAGCAAGTGAGGTGGCCTTCTGAGCCAGCATGTATACGTTTGCAATCGCCTTCTCCTTGCCTGTGTCGGGCTCGCCACCCTTTTTCAACGGGACCACAATGCCCATCACTCCGCGCCCGCATTAGAAGCGGCTGCCTCTATCCTCGGCGCTGCTGGATGGTTTAATTTCCATCATCCTGCTGCAAGCAGTGGGTCTAAGGTGGCTGTGATTTCCTCTCTGTTTTTTTTGGGGGGGTTGCTTAAATTTAATACTTTTGCAGGAACTTGGATTGGCTTCCCAGGTTGGCCCACATGCTTCAGGGGTCTTGCCCTTGCAAGTTGAAATAGGAGTCTCCCAAAGGAATCCACAATGATAAAATGAAAATAACGCGCTTCCTTTTACTTTCTCTATAGGGAGCAAACTGGGCACGGAATACGCATGCGCAGTAGAGACGGGAACGAGCCGGAGTGGGCGAAGGCGAGGGGCGGGGAAAGGCGTGGCCACGCCCCCGGGCCACGCCCCTTCGCGGGGACCGCCTTCCACGTGGGAAAACATCAGAAAAGCAGCTTTTCGAGGCGCGGGGGGCGCCACAATTAAGTCCTGCCGGACTAATCATGATTACTACAATGAAAGCAATGATGATTTACTGATCAATCGTCAGTAAATTAAATTAAATTTTTAATTTAATTAAAGTTAATTTAATTTAAACTTACTTTAATTTAAATTGAGGAGGAGAAGCTGTCAGAATAATTATGGCACCCACCTACGTGGCCAGGGGCGTTACCCAAAAGAGAAGGATCCTGGCTTTTTGGGGGTGGGAGCCTTGGAATTTCCCACGCCTGCCATGGGCACCCTCACACAATGGTGCCAAGGTGGGCATGACCAAGGCCAATCAGAAGGGCAACCCCTGAGCTGCAGACACACCTTTTTATTTTCTAAATAAAACTGCTTTTCCGCCAGTTACGTTCCCATTCATCTGGATTTTGTGAATCAAGAGGAGTTTAAGCCATCAAATAAGGACAGGGGAAATGGGCAAGGTGTGGGCTGAAGCTCTGATGTCCTCCACGCCACCCTTAGGCAGCAGGATTTATTTCTCCCTCAACACACACAACAACTCAAAGGAATCCAGAAAAACCACACCGGAGAGGCGTCCCGTGATGCTTATTACACGTTTATTTTTAAGCTCAGCGCGCTTGGGCTGGGGAAAAACAGAAAAAGCCGCCTTCAGTGGTTATCTGTAAAATAAGTCACATATTTAGTTCAGGCAAAAAGAGTCACTGGAACGACGAAAAAACGGTAACAGTAGAACAGAACTGTTGACAAGAATAGCCCCAAATATTCAGGGTAGGTTTGTAAATAGTTACCTACTCGGTAAGGGATACGGCTCCAGTGATTTTGTCGCGCGTCCGTAAGAGCCTGTGCGACGGGGAAATTCGATTTCCGCTTGATTTGTCGACCCTCATTTCTGCAGAAGCCTTCAAAAAATGTTTAAGAATCCAATAAATCCATACCTCTTTTTCTTCTTTTTTAGCAGCAATGAGGACTAGTCACTAGAGCCTTATGTAGGAATCCTGTTATGATGGAATCAATACATTATTGTGTAATAAGACTAGCCCCATAGAGGCCTGCTGTTTTCAGCCCCAGATTCTTCATCTCTTGGACTCTCCTTTTCTTTTTAGTCATGTTTTTAAATTGACGGTTTATGTATTTATAGATATTTATGGTTTTAATGTTTGTGTGAGTCGTCCAGAGTTCCCCCATTGGGGGGAGATGGGCGGGGGAGAAATTTAATAAATAAAATAAATAAAATAACACCTTGGGATGACAGAGACTGTGAAACCTGTAATGTTCATCTGTTCCTTTTAATATTTGCTTTATGTACAAAGAGAGAAATAGGGTACAGCCCCAGAGAAAAGCGTGCAAGTCAACAGATTTGATGTCTGCTGGAACATCAATCGTATTTACCCATTTCCTTCCCATAAAAGCCATATATCTATGGTTCTTCTTTCCCTGGACTACTTCCATTCCTTCCATTATTCATTATGATAATCATTTAAATTACATCTAACAGCACATGAAAACTCTTCCCTGACCCAGAAGTCACGCATAGAGATTGCTGCCTCACTTCCACGGAATCAGCTGACGGTTTAGACCTCTCGAAAATTAGACAGGATCACAGAAAACTAATAATCCCTCTTTCCTTAAGACATATAACTACTATCTTCACAAACCTGTCCTGGCACTCTTCATTCAACGTATTTAGTTTTATCTTATTTAATTATAGTTGTTCCGCAGGGATTCACAGAACAGGTCACGCTATAAATCCCCATGTGCAAAACGATTGGCTGTTTCACATGATCTACCCTGCAGGGTTGTTGTTAAGAAGGAAGAGCCAGTATTTATCACCGTGACCTCCTGGAGGGCTATGTAATTTCCCAAGAAGTCAAGCCACTCAGGGTTCAATGGTGCTTGTTCAGATCAATGCATGCATCTAGTCTGTATTTGTTTCCGTAGTCACAATCTGCATTTACAGACACCCAAAGGTGTTGCATGTTGTTTTAATGTTGAACTCTCTCAGAAAGTGGCTTCTGTTTTTCTGATGGGTTCTCGGGCTGCAAGATAACTTTTTTCCAATTTCCTTTGGTCGTTCCGAGCAGACTTTTGGAGGTGTTTCCCTTGAAGCATTTTTTCCACGTCTCCAGCTTCCGTGGCTGCTCGCATTTCCTCATCTGAAAGGCCCCTCCCCCTGGGAGGAGTTTCCTTCTGATGTCATCCCTTAGGACTGGACAGAAGTGTGAGAAGCCAAGGAAGCTGTAGACCAGTGGAGAGAGGATGGTGCAAGGAAGAATCGGATGTACCCACAAGCCCCTCTGCCACCTCACCATGAAATAATTGTGATAAATGTCCACTCTGCACACTAAAAAATTCCTCTCCTTTGAACATGCTGCCAAATGCAACTGTTTTCTCATCAGAACGAATGAAAAAGGTAGGAAGAAATGCAGAAGGCTCTAGCTGAGTTTGGCCCTGGCAAAAGACAGAGGGTTAGACGGGCACCTGCGAAATGACAAGAAAGGAAAGGATATCATACAAAGGAAAGGACAGGAGGATGGGGAAAGAAAGGGGAAGAAAAGATGTTGGCAGGATGAAAGAAAAAGAAGAGGACAGGACAGGAGGGAAAAGGCAGAAAAAAAGGATGAATGGGAAAAAGAAGGGGAAGGAGAGGGAAAGGAATTGAAAGATGGACAGGAAGGGGAAAGGAAGAGGAGGAACATGGGGGAAGGAAGAAAGATGGAAAAGAAATTTGGATGATAGGAAGGAAGGAAGGAAGGAAGGAAGGAAGGAAGGAAGGAAGGAAGGAAGGAAGGAAGGAAGGACAAGCAGAGGGAGGGAGGGAGGAAGGAAGGAAGGAAAAGAGGAGGGAGGGAGAGGGGAAAGAGAAAGAAGAGGAGAGAGAGGAAGGGAAGGGACACATATGGGGAAGGGCAGAGGAAGGAATGGGGACTGGCAAAAGGCGAGGAAGGAAGGATCGCGAGGAAAGAGCTAAGGCCTAAGATTGGGGGAAGGAAAAAATGAAGGTGGGAATTCCGACTGAATGAGCGACGATGCTCTGGATATTAGTGTGAATCTG